TCACCTGCACGCATGGCCTCAACGCGCGCGTTCCTTCCACACAGACATCAGTGCGCGTTTCAGCTTCTCCCGCGTGGGTCCCGCGTCTGCAATGCCAGTCTGATTTCCCAATGAAGCCGCGCCAGCTGTCAACTTTGTCCCCTGTCTGACCATCGCCAGCTCCGTCCGCCCAATCCGCCCGCGACACCTGGCGCTTTTCCTCCTCACTGTCAATCACGTTGCGACACGTGTCCCCTTGGTGTTGAATCTGAATTTCTCCATCAATATCAGGGCAAATTGGCCAAATTTCTTCCCCAAATTAAATATATGATTTCTTCTTATTTATGTGTAATTTTATTTTGTTTCATTTTCTTTTGTAATTTTCTAGTTTTATAATTTATTTTATTATTTGACAGGCAACCTCTGAACACTATAAATAGAGGGGTTGGACTAAGGTTTTAGAAGCTTTTAATATTCAGTTTTCTGTCGTCTTGCTGTCAGTCTCATATTTTCTCTTTAGAACTTGTGAGAATGTTTTGCAAGATAGGCTAGAGTTTTCTTGGTGAGGTTAGAGATGAACTTCTGTTGAGTGACCCAATTCGGGGTTTTGATTCCTTGTGCTGTAAAGTTCAACATCCGAATAAATTAAATCTCATCTATTTTTCTATTACTTTTTAAAATATTGTGTGTCAATTTTTATATAAGTTCAGTCACGCTTTTCTTATGTAATTCTGTTATGCAATGTTTTATTATTCAAATTATTTTACAAATTGTCTTTTACTGCAATATTGTCAGATTGATATATTGTCGATTTTAAATAACTTGTAATAATAATATTTCTGGAGTCAACATACAGATTTAATTTATTCGATTATTTAATATTGTGAATCAAAACTTGGATTGGTGAACGAAACATTAAGGATTCTCGACATCTTACCGTTTTTATTATTGAATTTTCTTCATACAAATTCCCTCATTTTTATTTTATTTGCAACAAAATCTCAAAAACTATTCTTTTTTCTTTAATTTACTTTTCTCTAACGATCTTATTATGTTAGTCTTTCTTGTTATTTTGTTATCTCTCTGTGGATACGACCGCCCTTCTGTGCTACAATTGACCGCTTGTGAATATCACTTTTGAGCGTTAATCAAAGGGACACATTTGTAAATCAACGTTCTCCTTCCAAAACAAAGTACAATCTTACTTGCAGACATAAATTATTTCATAACCCAGTCCAAGTTTACTCATTAGCTTCTTCGACTCATAATGAGAAGAATGTAACTTCACATCCGGGAATGCATCTTTCAATAAATTTAACAGAGCATCCATACACTCATTAGACCACTTGTATAACATTTTTAAATGTATCAATTTCACTAAGAAATTTAAAGATAAATACTTAGTGCAGCTCGGATACAATCCCACCTGGAGCTCAGAAAGTAGATCCTTAAATTCAGCGTACTGTGCATCTTCTAGATCAACATGCGTCTCATCCAACATTTCATTGTCATCATTAATCCCAACAACGTCTTCTAAGATTACAAACATCTCGTCTACTGGTTGATTAACTATTGGATCGACACCTGAAACCGCTTCTACTTCACCATGGTGAATCCATGTACTATATAATGGATCAAAACCAAATCGATATATATGCGCTCTCACAGTTTCTACTATATGCATTTCATGGTTTCTACATTTCACACAAGGACAACTGATATGGCCAATTAAAGTTGCATAATTTTTTGTGACGTCAATAAAAGCAGATAACTCATTCTAATATTCATCCGACAATCGGTTACTCAAATAAGTCTAACTTTTGTCAATCGGCATTTGAACTATAAACAACAACAGGCATAATAATTTATTAATGTGTTTAATTAATTTTAATTCTGCTCTTTATTAACACAATTAAATTTTATTAATTAAAATTTCTTAATGAACTTATTAAAATTCTCGTTTTCTAACTAAATTTCGGCAACATAACGACTTCTATTTCATATGATCTAAAAATCAAAACCTGCAGAAAAATAACTTTAAAAGATTTTGACACACCATAGCTGCAAGATGTGCCACACAGAACAAGAATCATAAACATATACTAAATTTCAACAATATAAGAAAATTATAATTCAAATATTGTCATCATAATCATGAATTCATATAATCAAAAACTATAACAATTTTAAACTAAATAAATATAAAAAATTTACAAAATTCAAACCCACTAAACGGAAGCTGAAAATAGCAGGATTACGTCGGAAGAACCATGCAAAGAGTGACAGAGGCGAAAAATCAAACGCCTACATCAAAACAAAACATCGAACATAATTTTCAAACACCAAAATTAATATTTTATTAACATCTAGAATAACATATATACACAATTCTTGATTAAATAAATTCTCAGAACCATAAAAAACGACTAAACTCGAACAAAAATTCATAACATTTTCTATTTTCTATTTCCTTCTTCCATTTGCTCGACAAGTAACAACAATCCCTAACAAAAATCTCTAAAAATCCCTAACATTCTTCAAATCAATGCAAGTAACCAAACAAAAAAAAAAATTTACAAAAAGAAAAAGAAGAGAGAGAAAGAAGGGAAGAGAGAGAAAGAAGGGAAGAGAGAGAAGGGGAGAGAGAGAATGGAAGAGAGAGAGAAGACGGCGGGCGACGGCGGCGGCGGCGACGGTGAGGGGAAGAAGAGACAGAGAGAGTTAGCAGGTAGAGAGAGACTGAAATCAGGAGAAAATGAAGAGGAAGAAGTTAGCGTATAATAGATCAGACTTCATCGCAAATAAATTTAAAATGTCATCACAAATACCCCACATCTGAAATTATTTGCGACGACATATTGTCGTCACAAATAATCATTTCCCTGCGTTTGTTCTTGGACAAATGTGTATAGCTTATTTGCGACGACAAAGAGAAAATATCGTCGTAAATAGAGTGATATTATTTGCGACGACACGTGTCGTCGCAACTAATAAGATATTTGCAACGACAAGTCGTCGCAAAAAATGGATTCCCTTTGGCGGCAAAAATCCGCGCCATTGAAAATTGTACGCCGAAACTATTTGCGACGATATTGAACTTATTAGAGACGACATGCTTAATTTATTTAACGGAGATTAATTACGGCATATCATCGCAAATAATGAAATTTTGTGACAACGTCGTCGCAAATGACCTTTATTGTTGTAGTGTGGAGGGTTGAGTTACTTCTAGTTTTAAGAACTGGGAATTGGCCGTGGAAAGTCTTGGAGAATAGTCCAAGCAAGGTAGGATTGCAGGCCCTGGAAGCTCTGCTAAAGCTGTAACATATCAATTCATCAATAAGGAGCAATAAGGAATTACTCTTATTTTCTTTCTGGCTCGTTCTTCTATACTATTCTGAAATAGAAATTGTCCAGCTCTATCATTTTGGTATCAAAGAACCCAAATATTTTAAAATTGAATAATGCTTTTTGGAAGAGAGAGCCATCATACAACAAGGAAATGAATGGGAAGAAAATGTACCATACAGGAAACTTTAAACAAAAATGAACAAACACGATAAAAATATTAGCTCATATATAATACAAGAATATTTAGCTCACATACACAATCGAAAGCATAATAATTACTCCTTTCAAAAAAAAAAAAAAAAAAAAAAAGAGCATAACAATTTCAACTAAGTAGCACAAAGGAATGGTAGGTAATTGTATCCTTTTGATTGCCAGGCTTCCAGTTAGCCCAAATAGTTCTTCAACTCAATTATCAATCAGACGAACAACAGTAGCAGCTCAACTATACAATACTTGGAAACAGAGATTTGATAAAATCAAAGCAGTTTCATTTCAATTAAGCCATACCTCATCATCTTCCAACCAAAACATGTTAAAGTTCAACCATAAATTTAAATTTGCTTCCAAATTCTACTTTAAAGCCAGCCATGCATCAACTGGTTGAGCATTTAAACAAGAAAACTAAGCAAGGAAGCATAACTTAACAAGAAAACCATGGAAATTATTTAGCCCCTTCTGATGTCCAAGCCAAGGACCAGGTGGTAGCGAAAACTTCAATCTTTAAAAAGACTTTAAAAAGAAACCTTTAAATTTTCTGTATGCTGCTACAGTAATGACTTAAAAGCCTTAGGAAAGAGCTTTGATTGAGAGATTACACGAGTATAGACGGAAAGGGGCTGGAAACAAGGAATAGCTCGTTGAGTTTAAGGGTCAGGCTTCGGGGTATAGTTGTTATGGGCTTTCTTTAGGCTGCAAATGTGGGGGAAAACAGTGAAAAAGTGGCAGCAAATGGGAGTGAAGACACTGAAACATTAAAAAGTAAAAACAGAAAAACAAAACAAAACAAAACAAAACAAAACAAAAGGCAAAATATATATATATATATTAATGTGCGTAGGATGGTAGGTAACTATTCATGCTAACATATTTTATTTAGATCGCCAAACCAGCTGAATGAAACATCAGTCGAACTAGCAATCATAGAAGAAATTGGCACATAGATTAAGAAAAGACTAAATAGGAAAGATAAAAGAATAAGGACACCCTATCCATTTGAAGAAATTCTGGTGCAACAGAGTCAAAATCACAACAGAAGATGGCCAGAGTAGTGCAATTACCTAGTAATTTGAAGCGCTATTGCTAAGACTTGAGAATCTGGTAATACTCGAAACAAGCAAATATAAGAGATTAAAATCCCCATTGTTCTCAAAAACTTGAGATACTCGGAACAAACAAATATAAGGATTGAGAGTCCAAAATTGAAATTAAAAAAAACAAAAACAAAAAACAAACTGATGGCTAACAGCCCGGCCGTTTTTTAAACGTGAGGCACTCAAAGCAAGAAAGATAAGATGATTAAGGTCCAGCAAACCACATAAACGCTTACAGCTTATATTTTTCTTTTCTTATCTTATCAATAATAATAAAAAAAGAAAATGATAAATCTAAATGATTCTACTACAAAGACAATCACAACAAAGAAAGGGAAATTATAACCACAATTAAAGCAAAATCAATATCGTAAACGAAAATATGCAGTTCCATTAGATAGCTACTCACATAGTTAAAGGCCATCAGCTTCAAATTTAGCAATAAACACTGCACATAACAAAGTAGAAACTCCCAACACAATCTTCACCCCGCACCCCCTTTTTGAAAGGCAAAATGAAGCCCAAAAGCCATTATAAGTTAATAAGCAAAAAATCCATCACAAGCTATACCTCACCAATACCCACTAATGATCAGAAGACTTGAGCTTCTCGAGGACCAACTTGACTTGTTCGTTCATCAACTGATTCTTCTCTACAAAAAGCTCCAGTTCATCAATGTGAAGCTTTTTCCACATGGCGTCCAACTCGGCTTTCTTCGATTCCGGAAGCAAATCGAGTCCCTTCTTCACAACCTCTTCTGGTAAGCTCTTCATACCAAATCCAATCATCTCACTCGAACGCACTGAAACGCCCGATTTCCCACCAATCTCACTCTTTCTAGAACCTTCTTTCGGAGGAGCAGGTGAAGCCAGGGTAGCCTTTCCGTTACTCTTTGCAGCGCCGTTCGACTTCGGCGAAGAGACGCCGGCACGGCTGCCGCGGCCGCCCCAGATCTTCTTCGAGAGCTCGAAGGCGTTCTGCTCATGCGGCTTCGTAGGGTTGTATTTCTTCCTTGCCGCGTTGTTTAAGTACTTCTTCTTTAACTTCCGGACTTTGTTGGACAACTGCGACTTCGTGACCTCAACGTGCAGCGACTTCTTGATGAAATCATGGAAGGTATTCATGTCCGTTGCGGCCGGATCGCCGCCTCTCTTCGCAGCGTAGTCGATTAAACCTTTCAGTATCACGATCTCGTCTTCCTCGCTCCACAGCCTCTGGAACAGCTTCTTCGAGTCGTCTCCGCCGGACTTCTTCGACTCCTCCTGCTCCTCATCAGACGCTACTCCGCCGTCGCCATCCGCCTCCGGAGGAGGCACTTCAGGGCCGCTCTTCTTCTTCACCCGCTTCTTCGAGTCCTTTGCGGTGGTCTCCGACTCTCTCGGCCTCTTAGCCGCCGACTTTATCTCCGGCGTGGCGGCGACGGAGGGCTTGGATCTGGCCCCTTTCTTCTCCTCCATCGGCTTCGACGCTATGGGCTTGACGGTCGAGTCGGCGGGCTCGGACTCGGAACTCGACTCGGCGTCGGACTCGGAATCATCGTCTGTCTTCTTGGTGTTGGGCGATAAAACCGTTGGTTTGGGGGTTGCTTGAACCTTCTCATCTTCGGAGGTTTCTTCTTCTTCCGATGAAGTTTCCTCCTCTTCGTCGGAAGAAGAAACGGCCGGGGGTACGTCAAGAGGGGAGGCGCGTCTTGGTGCCATGGATGGGATGGAGGAGGAAACGGAGGGTTTCAGATGAAGGGAAGATTGGGTTTTTTCTATTAGGTCATGAGTAGTTATGAGCGATATATGATCTTATTATTTGAGTGATATATGATCTTAGGAATGTTCTTTAATCCAGCACTAGAAAAGTATCGGATGAGCCAGTAAATCACATTTACAACTTTACCTTTTTGAAATTATATATCATATTTCACATATTGACACAATTTTTTGAGCCATCAACATTTGTCAACAATTTTTCTGACACCCACTGTATCTGTGCATCACTCCCCACCTCACTAACACATGAACACCGCATGCTTATGGTAAAGTGACTATGGCCACCTTTTACTCCTCCTCCATTAATTTCTGACCGTCTACTTTAATCCGACGTCTCTCAATTTTCTGACCATAGACTAAAAAAATGTGAAACCCAATTAAAAAAAAAAAGCTCTTTTTTGGACAAAATAAAGAGAGACTTGATTAGTCAAAAAAAAAAGTGTAAGGCTTAATCGTTTATGAAAGGGAAAAGAGCTTAGTAAAAATAGCAACTTTTACAGTTTTACAGTAGGTGAAAAATGTAAGGATTGTGTCTGTAAAATTTTATTATTTTTTGACGTCATTTTTATTTTATTTTATATTTTAAAGATGAAAAATAAAAAAAATCATAAAAAATAGAATATTCATCAAAAAAATGGTGTCGCTTATTGCATTAATTGCTAAAAATCATATATTAATTTTAGAATATAAAAAATAAATAAAACTGTAAATTTTTTACCCATCCCGGCCCCTAAGCTGGTTCTTGGGCGCCCCACTACGCAAGCCGGGGGCTTTTTGACAAGTTTTACTTTTTTGTCATTTTTTAGGCAATTTTTTTTCTGGCATGCCTAGAAAAATGTAAAGATTGTGTCTGTAAAATTTCATTCTTTTTTACGTCGTTTTTATTTTATTATATTTTTTAAATATGAAAAATAAAAAAAATCATAAAAAATAGAATATTCATAAAAAATAGTATCGCTTGTTGCATTCATTCTTAAAAATCATATATTAATTTTAGAATGGAAAACATAAATAAAAATGTAAATTTTGGTATTTTATATTATATCGAAATATGCTCTTAGTATTTTGTATTTTTAATAATATTAAAACAGTATTTTAATCTTTTTAAAAATATCTTTTTGATACCTTAAAACTAATTTTTAGGACATGTAATGTCTAAATTACTTTATTATTTTCTCTTACTTATGGCTTAAAAAAACGGTTTAATTTGTGTTTCTCTTTATGCCATTCATCTTTTGTACTTTTTACTTACTTATTATCTACTATTTCTCGTACTTAACGCTTAAGAAAAACCCGGTTTAATTTGTGTTTCCATTTATGTCCTTCACCTTTCGTATTTTTTACTTATTTGTTATCTACTATTTTCTCTTACTTAAGGCTTAAGAAAAAAAATGGTTTAGTTTGTGTTTCCATTTATGTTATTTACCTTTTGTACTTTTTATTTACATGTTTTTTTAATCTACTTGTTATCTATTTATGCCCTTATCAATTTTTGTATTTTTAATCTACTTATTATCTATTATTTTCTCTTACTTAAGTCTTAAGAAAAAATGGTTTAATTTGTGTTTCCTTCTATGTTCTTCACTTTTTGTACTTTTTACTTATTTGTTATCTACTATTTTCTCTTACTTAGAGCTTAAAAAAAATGGTCAAATTAAATAATATTTGAATTACGTTCTGAACATGGCTTCCGAATCTACAAAACTCACCCCATCAAAATAAGTTGTGCGGTCTAAATGTTAAGAAATATAATAGAGTATGGCGATTAGTTAGAACTTATTTGTTTACATCATAAAATTATTTTTCTAATAGACAATAAATATAACAGTTAAATTCATGCAATTGCACGTGCCTACTTTTACTAGTTTCTTAAAAAATGAAAATATTTTAAGACATTAAAATATTTAAAGGAAAATAATAAAATAAAGAGTTCATGATTTTTTTTTAGATTTATTAGATTTTGATTAAGTAAAAGAGTACTAAGGTCATTTTACATCTTAAAAATCAACTTCAGAGTACCAAGAATATGTTTTTAAAAACGTCGAGGTATCATTTTAATATTATCAAGAACACAAGATACTAAAAGCATATTTCGCTATATACATTGTCGCTTACGTTCATTAACATGAAATATAACAAATCAGTAAATATACATATTTTTATGTTATATATTCACTTAATTGCTATAAAAATACATGTTTTGAAGATTAATATACATTGTCATTTCTTGTAACTTAACATATACATCTTTACATGTAAATATACACACCTTACATATAAATATACACGAAAACAACAGAATTATACATCTGTCGTTTCAATCCGGCAAACAGTAACAGCCAGATTAAAGACCTTGCCTATGATCTTATCTTAAAATTTTTTATTATATTAAAAAAAAATTGGATAGAATTGTTTTTAAAGTTTTTTATTATATCAAAAATAATTAAATACGATTATTTTTAAGATTATTTTATTATAACAAAACTTAAATAATAAAATAAATAGAGCCTATGGGGTTGTTCTTTTGAAGTGTAACTTGAGTGTAATTTGAGTGTAGTTTTTGAGTTATACCTTGAGTTAAAGTTGTAACTTGAATAAAGTTGAGTAAAATTTGAATAAAGTTAGAACTTAAAAGAACGTGAACTTAAGGCCCCGTTCATTTCGCTGATTCGAGTTTTGCTACAGTAAAAAGCTCTCAGAAATAGTCACATCTAAATTTTTTGCTACAGCAAAAAGCTCTCACACAACATCACTTCTTAACTCGAATTAGCGAACTAAACGGACCCTAAATAAAGTTGTAACTTGAGTTTAAACTTTTTTTGAGTTTTGTTGTAAAAGAACAACCCTTATATATTTGCACCCAGACTCATTTGGTTGAAGAATATCCATCTTTAAAAAAAAAAATTGAATAAAAAAAAGTTGCACTAATAGTTATTTTACAAAATTTAAATTCAAATTATAATTATTGACTTAAATAACATATCATAAATTTATTAATGTCTCCACTAATTCATAATTTTTATTTATCACAATTTTATCTTATATTAAAATCCATTAACATACCCCACGTTAACTATAAATAAAAATATTATTTTAAAAAAAAATTTTAAAAAAACGTACACTAAAAATTAATTATAGCTAGAAAGAATTCTTCAAAAGAATGAAAAAAGTATACTCTCGCGGCTCAAACATGCATTCCATGACATTGAATTTCTTTAGAGGTTTATGATAAGAAAAAAAATTTATGATTATTTTGTGCAAGTCTTTATCGTTTCTGATTGTCCTTTATCACCTATTACTGCAAACTGGAGTAGACACCGCCAATCCTTATGTAGCTCACATCAAAGTTCTTTGTGAGTTGGTAGGAAGTTTTGTTCTTATTTAGATAGTCGTTGACCTTTATATGGATCAACATCATTGTGTACACGTTTTTTTATTGCATCTAATTACTTTTGTGTTATAGAAGTTTTGTTCTTATTTAGTGGACATCATAAAAAATAAATAAATAAGAAGAAGAAGGTAAGACGAAAACAAAACAAATAAAGGTAAAGATAATTACATTAATGTTTAAAAAAGAAATATAACATTAATAGTGGAAAGGGATTATATGATTTTGAAAATTAAATTAAGATTAAAATTAGGTTGGAGTATGAAAGATTAAATTAGATATTATGAAAATCGTATTTACAAAATGATAGATTTTTTAAATTTTTATTAAAGGAACATTAATTAGCAGAAAAATCTATATAACTACCCTTGTGTTTTGGTGGATTGGGCAAGCAGCCTTAAGCCGTAGGGATAAACAACTAGCAGCCGAAGGCCTTAAGGCCAAGTAGCATCTCGCTAAGCCCGTTAATTGGTCTAGTATGTTAAGAACTCTAATTTTCCAGGAAGAAAGAAGGAATTAACATAATTTTAATGATTATTAACAGTATAATCTTTAGAGCTTTTTTTTTGTGCTCTGATGATTCTTAGAGTGTGTTAGTAACTTAGTGTTAGTAAATAGCAGTCATTTTCATTACTACACATTTTAAAAATTGTACGAGAACTCATAAAATTACACTAAATAGATATAGATCCCCTCTAAGAATTGAGAGATACGTCACCCATATTTCTCCTTTGGAAAAAAAAATTAATGATAAAAAATATTGTTTATGTCACTCTATTTAGAAAGAGAAAACAAAAAATAACAATGACACCTAACTATTTATACTAACATAAATAATAAACATTCACAAAACTATGACAAATCATGTATTTTTCTCTTCCACATCTACCCAATTCAAAGTCCACAAAGAGTGTAACACCCTGAAGAATTAATTGAGATTAATTAAGGTAATTAAGATTATTAGTGTGTCTAATCTGATTATTAATTGAGTTTAATTAATAAATGTTTCTGACACGTGTGAGTTTAAATAGTTCCAAGGTATTTAAATTATTCTTAATAATTTATTTTAACCCAGAAGTGTGTATGGGCGCATTTCTGGACTGCTCTTTTAAAATATTGTACACATGTCATTTTCTTTTCTTTTTCCTTTTCTTTTCTTTTTCTTTTCCTTCCTTTTCCTTCCCGTGCATCTCTCTCACTCCCTCTCTTTCTTTCTCCCATGCATCTCTCTCTCTCTCTCTCACTCACTCATTTTTGTCCCAAATCAAACAGATCTTGAACCAAGCAAATATTTAAAGAAGTTTTCAACGTCAAGAGAAGGATTCGAGGTAAGATTACTGAAAGAACCTCTCTTGAATCTCAAGTTTTTGAATTTCAAAATTTATTTTTGGTTCAAACCGGATTTTGATAGTTTTTAAGTAAAACTAGAGTAGAAATTGGAGATCTTGGGTTCTTTGGACTTGTTTTAGGACCTAGAACCCAGATCTAATGGTTTTCCTTTAAAATATCTCGATTTGGGACTGGATTTGCAGGTTTTGAACTGATTTCCACGAGCTTCTCTCGCGCAGCTGATTCCACCGATCGACCTGTGCGATCGACTGGATCACATGGAAACCGGTCGACCGGATTGCAGGCTGACCGGGCGACCGGGGTGCACACTACCGGTCGACCGGTAGTGTTGCACTGCTCTGTCACCGGTCGACCGGTTGACACGGGGTTTGACCCTGTT